AATTGCAGGGTATTTGGGTTTGATACTGATAGCTAAATAAAAATGACTCAATCAGTCAGTCAGTTGATGTGCTCACTGGCCCGTTTCTCCCTTCATTCTGCAGCTTTCCACGCTTCACGTTTTCGCATTTTTAAAAGACCTGACCTGTGCTGAAATGGGGTTTCATGACACTCTAACAGCTCTACTTTCAAGGTGCAGTGCTTGACATCTTGCATATGATTTCTCAGAGCCAGGAGCTGAAAGGTGGCTTCTCTCAAAACCACACGTTAAATATTTTTCTAAAGCGCTCATGGATACAGCTTCAGTATACTGTATATACTGTCCCAGACTCTTCTCTGAACTGTCTGTCTCCTCTCACAGTCTCAGAAATCTCTTCCTCCCCCTCACATCCCGGTTTAGATCTCTAATCAGCCTTTCATGAGTTGGCCAGTCACAACATCTGCTGTTTATTTTATTTTATGCAAATAAGGATTTATACAGACACGCCACAAAATTGAAATTAACGAGGCATCGCTATGTCAAAGTCTCTTATCAGAGGGTCTAGTGACCCTAATTTTCACAGAGGGAGAGCGGAGGAGTTGATAGCAGAATGGCAGTGGAAAAAGAAGGCACATTTGGAGGTCATAGAACCTTGCCTTGCGATTCATTTCTAAAAATGTTTTTAGATAAATGTGTACCCTAAAATACAAAATGCTATAGGCTTCTTCGTTTATATAACACAACTTATTGCTCATCGGCTTAGAACCTGTCAGATGAACCCATTTGACCTAAAATAGGACCACTGAGATTTAAAGTTAATATTGCAATAATTTAACAACACACAAAAAAGCAGTGTTTGTAAGAAACAAACCCATCATTAAAGTATTTTTAAAACTTCAAACAGTTGCTTCTGGCCAAAATACGACTCCATAATCCATAATAACACTTCCTCCAGTTAAAAAGTCCATCCCCTGTTGCCTTCTCACATAAAAATCCACCAACACATTTGTATAGAACATCTGTTTTGGCTTGTAAACAGTGCTTGATCTGTGCATATTTCTCTTCTGATTCAAACTGGAGAAAGTGATATTATGGATAGAAAGCAACGGTTTGAAATTACAAATGTCTTAATGGTGGATTTGTTTCTCACAAACACAGAGCTTTTCTCTTCAAGACATTAACGGATGGACTGGAGTGGTATGGATTACTTGTGGATTATTGTGATATTTTCATCAGCTGTTTGGACTCTCATTCTGACGGCACCCATTCACTGCAGAGGATCCATTGGTGAGCAAGTGATGTAATGCTAAATTTATTCAAATCTGCTCCCATGAAGAAACAAACTCATCTAGTCCTTGTATGGCATGAGGTCGAGTCAATTTTCAGCAAATTTTATAAAATATAAAATGCTGATATGCTTCCCAGTTTATGCACAGTGGTATGTTTGGTCATTCAGACTTTTAAGTTATCATTTCCTACAAAGTCATGTTTTTTAGTTGTTTTTGAAGCAGTATATTACAGTTTTTATTAATGTTTTTCATTTTTAGATTTTCTGTTTTCATTTTAATTGTAGTTAAGTTTTAGTCATCTTGTTCTGTGTTTTTGTCGTTTTTATTAGGCTGGGTATCATTTTACACAATAAAGGAAAGTAAACAAAAAATACATAAATAAAAAAAAAAGTTATAAAAGATGCACTTTAAGGTACCTGAATTATGAAAGAACTCTCCTTTAAATCCACTAAAGGTCATCCCTGGTTTTTATACTGTTTCATTTGTTAAATCCTGCAATGTACTTAAAATATTGGACACTTTGTGTACTGCACTGCATTCCAACCTCATCAAAGTCACCAAACACAGTTATTTTGGAGAGTACTTACTCAAAATCACCAACACAGTTTAACCACTGAGGACTGTCACATAAGAGTCTCCACAGGGACTTTCTGTGGTAAGCACTTCTGCACTTACACTGGCTGAGAGCCTTTCCAAAACCTACACACAGGAGACAAATTATCATTAGGTAACAGCGTTCCCTCTGGGTGTTCATCAGGAGCCAGTCATTTCTGTGAGGGAACAAATGAGAAGGTCTTGAATCGACTGGAACAGACAGTCTGTACTTCACAGGAGGTACAGACCTGTTTTTGCCATTTCTGCCTTTATTTATAGTACAGTAAAAAAGAACAGAAAGGCGGCGAAGTGGGCATGCATGCCATAAGTCAAAATGCTGGCTATGAGGCTACTGGCTCAGATAGGAGATATAGATTTTTTTTAATGACAGGCCTGTAAAACAGCTCAATCTGAGGAACAGAGAGAAAAACAATGAGCCACAGGAACCCCAGAATTATCTAAGTTTTCAGTGGCGTTTAGCTGATTCTATAACACTTATTGACAGCTTTAGCTGACTTGCCAGAACTTGATTTTCTCAAAATCTTGACATTGACACCTTTTCTCATGATCTTGTCATACCAAATGTTGTTTTCTTATGTTCACGTTCCAGTCCTGTTCACAAGGTGCTTCAAAATATAGATCAAACCTGTTGGACCTTTTCTTCTTTGGAACAGCTTCCAGCGACCCCCAGGACACATATTTGATCAAAAACCATAAATTCTTTTCACACAATGCATCACAAGGTTGCTATTTAGTAAATACACTGGGGAGCAGAAATGCAGTATATGTCGTGAGAACTAAAATAAGACAGCAGATGGGCTTTTCAATTAGTCAGTTTCACCTGCATTAGCTCTCCATTGTGTAGGTGAGGTCAGGGTAGTTGTTTGTAGGGCTTTGGTTTTATCAGGCTATATCACACCCAGTCAGTTGCTATGAGAACCACTGTTGCTGAAATCCTTCAGCAAATAAATGATCATGTCTCATAGGCATTAACACATATGCAATTATGCTGAATGGGTCGATAGCAAACAGAGATAAGATGGCATAAATAACACTAATGACGCTGTTGTCTGGAAGTTCCAGACTGTCGGTCTAATGGCAACAAAGGCCTGTGTGACCAGGGCACTGTGTTCTGTCCAGCTGTAATCACTATCTGGAGAGATGTGTCCATCATGCCAGTCTTAGCTGCATGATTACCCTGTGGCCTTCAGTAACTGCAGGCTGCGGCAATGTTGAGCACCAGCTCTCTGTGCACTGCACCATTACTCAAACAGAGATAAGAGACGGCCAGCTGACATGCGTGTTAGGACAATGGATATATTGAAAATGGCTAAATGGGAAATGCAACCTTTAACATTTGTTCTTATAGGGATTATCCTTATTTTTTATTTAATTTTTGAAATTTAATTAAATTTAATTTAACTTCGAACTTGAAAGTGTCAAGATGTTTTACATGTTTTCGTCCCATTACTTTTCCAGTTGTTTATCATGCCTACATACACTCATTTTAGAGAGATGACCACCATGAGAATAATTTCTAGAAAAAGCCCCCCCCAAAAAAAGAGAACTGATTACTACTAGACAAAATATAACCTATAGAAAAATATTAAAATGTTATTAATTTCCCTAAATTACGATGCCTGGAAATCACACTCTTGAAATTCCCAGATATTTTCAGGCTGAAGAACAGCATTGTTGATATTTAATAAAAATGCAAGCTTGGTTTATGTGATATTGTTTAAATGCACTACCGTTCAAAAATGTGGGGTCAGCATCAATTTTAAATGTTTTATTTTTTACAGAAGTTCTTATGGCCACCAAGACAGCATTTCACTGATTTAAGAAAAAGAAAAAAAGAAAAAATTATATATATGAGCAATATCACTCGAGTACGAGAGCGATACCGGCTCCTGCGGCCTCGTGCCGGAGGCAATCACAGCCGCAGATAAAGAGCCAGTATCGCTCGAGTACGAGAGTGATATTGCGTTTCAGATTTGAGAACCAGAACGAACTGTTGTATAAATAAATATATAATAAATATATATCTTATTTTTTTGCTGCTTAACACTCTTCAATGAATAGAAAGTTTACAATTGTTAAAGGGGTCATATGATGCTTTTTTAAAGATCATTATTTTGTGTATTTGGTGTAACAGAATATGTTGACATGCTTTAATGTTAAAAAAAAACATTATTTTTCAAATACTGTACATTGTCTTAACTTTGATAAAGAATATCTCTTTGGTTTTGAGACTTTAGTCTTTGCAACTTCAGGGATCTTATCTATGCACAATCAGCTTGTAACACTCCAAAGAGAAAGGAAAACTTGAAATCGCATCATATGACCCCTTTAATTTAAAATATACTTTAAATTTAATTAAAATATACCTTAAATGATATAAAATAGACTTTAAATACTTTAAGTAAACATCTTTACTGTCACTTTTGAATATGAAACTTCTAGTTTTGAACTTCTTCCCCCCCAAAAAAAAAAACCCTTTTGAATGGCAGTGTTTATGCAGAATCATAATTCAGACCACACACATCACAATTCAGTATAGAAATTTTAAGATGACATCACTGTTGGTTAGAATTTTCAACAACAGGCTTGAGGCTGAAATTATCTATAAAAAGTTTGAATTCAGCCCAGTCTGTATGTTAAGTAGTTTGGGCTAAATTTAAATACATATTAAGGATTCAGGGATTCAACCAAACCTTAAGCTCAATGTTTGACCAAAAATCAATACAGTACTGCTACAGTAGAGGATGAATCCAAGGCAGAAGCTCATTTCACATTTTACAAAAACATAAATCAATAATGGGCATTATGCAGCACTGTGAGATTGCACTATTTTGCAATCTAATGCCAAGAATCAATAGAAATGTTAATTCTCTATTTGCCTGACCCAAAATGCATCTAAATATGACTGATAAGGTTGTACCCCAAGAAACTAATTTAATATCAGTGAATTGTAGGTTTTTAAATGCTTTTATGTATCGATTAACACTAATAACACTTACAATCCCATCAGGCTCATATCCTGTATGATGAGACGGAGCCGAAGATCACAGGATGTTGTTGCTAATAATCGAATGCCATCCGGACTGTTCCAGCTCAACAAAGATGACACAAGAAAGGTTTCATTGTTTACTTTTTACAAACAAAATCTATTTATTCTGCTAGGTACAAATTACAAGGACTTCATTTACAGGCTGACAAGCTTGCTGTCATTTACTCAAATGATAAAAGGGGAAGCAAATCAATCAGTTCATCAGTGTGTGCATTATTTCAGTATCCCTGATTTTTAAAAACAGACCGTTAAGATAAACAACTGACTAGAAAGGGGGACCCATCAGATGACCATATGAGAAGAAACCGAATACAATAAACTCTTATGTAATAACATATGTACATATGCAATGAAATCAGATGGCGCTTGTCAGATTGATCAAGATGTATTTGTATAACCAGTGAGTGAAATCTAAATACTGGGGTAAATAAAATAATTCTGCCGCAGTCTTTTAGAGCAAAATGACAAAAGTCTATGTCATCACTCCAGCCATAATAATTACAATATATTTAATAATTACAGAGGGCACAAGCAGGGCGGGTCACTGTGGTTTTCGGGGCTGGGCAGCGATATAGAGGGCCATTAAACAGTAGAGGGTGCCGCCAATCGTCAAGCCCATCGTGGTCCTATACAGCATTTTGTCCATGACTCCACGCTTCAGGTGAACCGGTGCTCCATCAGTTTTCTGTAACAGGTCATATTGTTTAATACACCAAAAAAACAAAAAACTGATTTTTGCTAAAAAAAAAAATAAAAAAAAATTCTTCATTTTGTAAAATGAAATTTGTATTTATTTGCATTGGGTCTACATTAATCATTTAATTTGGCCAGAATGAGACCTGCATAAATCCAGAACCAGACTGAGATTTTGGCAATTGATTCAGTCTAGGACTGGGCTGACAATAACGATTAATCGATTCTGATCGATCTTCATTTTGATGAACAAAACATCCCTAAACATCACTTGTAGTGTGCCTCCTACCCAATAATCGCAGTAGGCTTTGTGCTTTGTTGATTTTGATATGAAGCATAATTTCAAGCTTTCAAATTCTGTTAATTTTATCACAAAAATTCAAACATGAAATAACATTTTGACAGTCTTTTCATATAGTGTTACAGATCGCTGTAGCACATCAGTTTAAGTAGCAGCACAGAGATGAACAGATCATCTTTTCCTGTTTATGACTAGTTACAGTAAGAAAAATATGAAAGAACACTGAAAGGTTTGTTGAAATAAACAGTACAAATGACTAAAATCATGTTTCTTGTATCACTCAGTATATCAACCTTGGAAAAATATCAATAAAACATAAGTAAACAATGTCTTGTAATCAAGGTCACTGGTGCTAAAGAGGGGGAGAGTAGTGGATAAGTTCCGTTTTTCACTGAACGGAGCCACTATTCCATCCATTACTGAGCAGCCAGTCAAGAGCCTCGGTAAGCTCTTTGACTTTAGCCTCAAAGACTCTGCCTCCATCCAGAAAGCTAGTAAAGAGCTGGAGACTTGGCTTAGTAAGATGGACAAATCAGGTCTTCCAGGAAAGTTTAAGGCATGGATTTACCAGCATTCTATCCTGCCCAGGATCCAGTGGCCCTTGCTGGTGTACGAGATGCCCATAACAACTATTGAGGCCCTGGAGAGAAAGATCAGCAGTTATCTGCGAAGGTGGCTTGGTTTACCTCGCAGTCTGAGCAGTGCTGCTTTGTACGGCACCAGCAATGTCCTGCAACTCCCGATTAGCAGCCTTATTGAAGAGTTTATGGTGGCAAGAACACAGGAAGTATGGCAGTATAGAGAGTCCAGGGATCCAAAGGTGGCAGCAGCTGGCATACAGGTGCGAACAGGCAGGAAATGGAGTGCAGAAAAATCATTGGAAGTGGCAGAGTCACGGCTGAGGCAAAATGTCATAGTCGCACGCAGTAGTTTTCAGTCGCAAATGCGACTGAAATGGTCGCACTGTCGAGCCCTGTGGAAGTGGCAGAGTCACGACTGAGGCACAAGGCAGTGGTGGGGCCCATAGCAACAGGGAGTGCAGGCTTTGGCTACTTCCCGGTTATGAGAGTTGACAATGCTCAAGGTAAAGAACGTCAACATCTTGTTCAAGGGGAAGTGCGGGCAGGCGTGGAGGAAGTAAGGGCTGGCAGGATGGTGGGAATGGGGCAGCAAGGAGCATGGACTAAATGGGATAACGTTCAGCAACGTAAGATCACTTGGGCTGACATCTGGAAAGATTTCCATCGAATCAGGTTCTTAGTCCAAACTGTTTACGATGTCTTACCAAGTCCAGCAAACCTCCACGTCTGGGGAAAAAGTGAGACACCATCCTGCCCCCTCTGTTCAGGAAGGGGATCACTAGAACATCTCCTTAGCAGCTGCCCAAAATCCCTTGGAGAAGGGCGCTATCGCTGGCGCCATGACCAGGTGCTTAAGGCAGTTGCTGAGAGCATTGCCACAGCCATCAAGGCCATTAAGGGCCACCACCATAAGCCAAAGACCATCAAGTTCCTCAGAGCTGGAGAGAAGGCCCACCCACAGCCGAGAGTAAAGATCGGTCTCCTCGCAACTGCTACTGACTGGCAACTGGAAGTGGATCTTGATAAACGACTGAAGATCCCTACCAGAATAAAATCCACACAGCTTTGTCCAGACATGATCATTGTTTCAGATTCCACTAAGCAATTGATCTAGCTGGAACTTACTGTGCCTTGGGAAGAGCGTATGGACGAGGCCAATGAGATGAAATGTGCTAAATACCAAGAGCTAGTTGAAGAGTGCAGGAGGCAGGGCTGGCAAACTCGTTGTGAGCCTCTGGAGGTGGGCTGCAGGGGTTTTGCAGGGCGATCACTCTGCAAAGCATTCAGGCTTCTAGGTATCACCGGGGAGGCGAAAATTCTGGAAAGATTTCCATCGAATCAGGTTCTTAGTCCAAACTGTTTACGATGTCTTACCAAGTCCAGCAAACCTCCACGTCTGGGGTAAAAGTGAGACATTATCCTGCCCCCTCTGTTCAGGAAGGGGATCATTAGAACATCTCCTTAGCAGCTGCCCAAAATCCCTTGGAGAAGGGTGCTATCGCTGGCGCCATGACCAGGTGCTTAAGGCAGTTGCTGAGAGCATTGCCACAGCCATCAAGGCCATTAAGGGCCACCACCATAAGCCAAAGACCATCAAGTTCCTCAGAGCTGGAGAGAAGGCCCACCCACAGCCGAGAGTAAAGTCTGGTCTCCTCGCAACTGCTACTGACTGGCAACTGGAAGTGGATCTTGATAAACGGCTGAAGATCCCAACCAGAATAACATCTACACAGCTTCGTCCAGACATGATCATTGTTTCAGATTCCACTAAGCAATTGATCTAGCTGGAACTTACTGTGCCTTGGGAAGAGCGTATGGACGAGGCCAATGAGATGAAATGTGCTAAATACCAAGAGCTAGTTGAAGAGTGCAGGAGGCAGGGCTGGCAAACTCGTTGTGAGCCTCTGGAGGTGGGCTGCAGGGGTTTTGCAGGGCGATCACTCTGCAAAGCATTCAGGCTTCTAGGTATCACCGGGGAGGCGAAAATAAAGGCGATTAGATCCGCGACTGAAGCTGCAGAGAGAGCCACTAGGTGGCTTTGGATTAAGAGGGCAGAACCATGGGCAATTGCTGCTGGGACACAGGCCGGGGGCTGGGTCGCCTGGGCGAGGGTGTCTGATGTTGAAAGACCCGAAACACCCAATGACCCCAGGATACATAACTGATGATGTGTCCCAGCGCATCTGCCTGATGTATCTTTCACCTGTAAAATTACATTTACCTCGGGAAAGACATTCAATATCAGTAATCTTGTTAAAAATCTAGATGAGCATTTTGCTAAACATATGCACTATATTACATTACATTTTTAATTAACCTATTAGTTACATCTCATTTATTGAATATTTAAATAAATCCATAATGAAAACAAGTTATGACAGCTACCTTTAAAGGTTTATATAACAACAGATTAGAGTAGAAAGTTTATATAAAAACTGTACAATTTAATGTTTTCATACAACTCAATTTTTATGTGTTGATTCTTATATCTAAAAATAAACAGCAGTTGAATTTGAATGTTAATTTTAACCTTTAATATTATTGTAATGTGCCAACTTTATAGTTTACAGCTTTAGATTAGAGATTGTTTTACCTAGGCCCGGGCGATAAAACGATATCGTTATTTATCAATGGTACACACCTTCTTCGATAACGATATAAAAAATGTTCGATATAGCGCACGATATAGGCACGTACTATGAGTGACGCAGACAGCACACACAAACACATGCTGAAATGAGTGCTGTGCCTGCCTGTGATGAGGAGATTGTGAATAAAGAATGAATATTAGTCGAATTTTAAATAAACATTTGCATTTGAATGTTAGGAGTGCGTCAGGAAGCGTCATCGGTGGCGCGCGAGATGCGGTGATAATGATGTAAGTGACGTTGTTGTCTTTTAATGCTTTGTTAGTCTAGCCCACGAGGCACGCCGCTGCTGCGTTATTCTTTCAAAATATTAGAGAAATATAGAAGCTCAATGCGAAGAAGATCTTGATTAGGTTAAAACCGAAACCAAGCCATTAACAGATGCATATTCAGCGCATTTCTTTGTCAGACAAATATGACTGCTGCACTCGTGTCTTAAGACCTATTTAATCTGCATATAAAACATTAGAAATTAGACATTTAATTTTTATTTTGTGTTTGATTGTTAAAATCAAAAATATTTGTTGTCTCAATAAATTGGGTTAATTTAAAAATACAGTGCTTAAATTAAAACATTTTTTCTATTGCTCTTTGTTTTAAAAAAGGTTATAAAAAATGTCAATAATTATCGATACCGAACGATATGAAACATTATATCGTTGATAAATTTTTTTGCTATATCGCCCAGCCCTAGTTTTACTTAAGAAAAATGGACATGTACTGCAGCTGATATAGCCAACAAATCAATATCAAAATCAGAATCAAATCGAGTTGATGGAATCAAATTGTAAATTTTTAATACCCAGCCCTAATTTAAACTTATTTTTAGCATTGCCAAATGTACTTGTTACACACATTACATTATACTTACTTCAAACATACTATTATAATAACATTACATTAAGCATAATTACATGCAACTAACCCTAAGTCAAACCCCAATTCCAATCCTAAACATATAGTAAGTACATGTAGTTAATTAATATTACTCAGTATTTAAATGTATAATTACACTGTAACAAGGACACCTTCAAAACCTGAATGTGGCTTTTCCAATTATAATTTAGAGTTTGAATGTATAATACTGTTTTGAGTCTTTTGTTTTTAACTCAGGTGTTGCAAAATGTGAAGCTGTTTTAGGACTGATGCCAGCCAACTGTTCATACTGTTTTGGTTTGTGTCCAAGTTTCAAATAAAAAAGAAAATCGTCAAAGGAGACGGAGTACCTTTTCTGTTATGAAATATCTAAATCACTGGGTTGAAAATCAAACAACTAAAAAAAAAATTTTTTAAAATCACAGTGCAATACCTGGAAAATCTTCTGCAGCTCAGGGACTTTGTTGATTCCCATGTAGTGAGCCACTGACCCGGTCTCTGAAACAACCTTGGTCGGTACAGCAAAGATCATGGGAGGAGCTTGAGAGGGAACCGTGGGCTTCAGCCCCTGTCAGGACAAACACAATGACATATTATGAGCTGCAGAGACATTACGGCACCAAAAAAATGACTACTGCCTTTATTTACTCATTTTAACATCAGTCCAAACCCCTATGCTGGCATTGTCTTCCTCTGACCTCAAAAGGACACCAACACCTCATAAAGGTCACTCATAGTGAACCACATCTCAACATCCGAAAAGGACCCAAAAATCACCATAAAGCAGAATCATCTAATCCTGGATACACTAACATCACACCTCCAAAAACTAGTCAATTAATCATTCATGACTAACATTCTTAGTGTTTTACCCTCTTTGGAGCTTAAAGATACGGTCAATATGAATTTTTGTATTAGGGAAAAGAGCTGCATGAGGATTGTTCAAAATGTTTCCTTGTCTGTTTGATGGAAGAATAACAGCATATAAGAAAATAATGAACGACAACTGTTCTTTGATCCGAGTTACAGACTGAATAGACAAGGTCATGATGGAAGGTAAACAAATCTTAACCTCTTAACCTTAGTCTAAAAGAACGGGAAGGAAAGAAACGAAGCTTTGGACTCTACAGCAGTCATTGACATTAAACAAATATACCTTAACTTTTTCATTATTTGGTATAATTTCTGTTCTGTTAAGTTAAGTTAAGTTCCCTTTCAACAGCTGGCTTTCAGGAGCTCCGAGGAATTGTGTGATATGAAGCTACAAAATCCGGCTGAGGCCATATTGCAGCTCTAGTGTCGGTCTTTAATCACTCCGATTCATTAACGTTAATGACAAACTTAGACTGCATTACTTTTTTAACAAAGGCAACCGTGATAGCAAATCAAGGGTAGCTTAGAGTGTATATCAGCACAATAATAAGACAGACTTGCGCAATGGCTGAGTGTCTGTGAAGCGCTTCCTGTGAAGGTCACTCCAGATTCTCGCTTCTCATAAAACAGCAGCGGAAGGTTTGAGTACCTGCGGGCTGTAAGCGGACGCTGCTGTCGCTCCCGTTAATTTCCCAGTGACTCCGCTGACCTTATAGTACATTTTTGTTGATAATACTGTGAATCACACCGCAGACAGAATCGCGTCCCACCACGGGCTCTCTGTATGTCCGAGTGAGAGGACCCCAGCGGAAACACGTCACTTAGCAGCCCGATTCTTGCCCGATTAAAAAAAGCGTCAACCCTACCTTCAGCCTCTGTTCAGACAAAATGCTATTATTAAATTGTGAATAAAATAATTTACACTACTGCTCAAAAGTTTGTGTTCAGTAAATTGTAAATCGTAATAATATTTCCCAACAATACTTGGGAATACACTTCTAAAACAATACAAAACAATACCCTTCTTCTTCTTTCTCTCCACTTGTTTGGGATTTATATAATAAGGTCTGATTAACATTATTTAGAAACACAAATTAGTCTTTTTAAATATGATTTAGACATTTTTATCTTCTCTTATAACTGCTCAAAAAATAGAACGTCAAAAATGTCAAGCTTACACACGGAGCTTATTATGAAACCGAATTTTGTGTTTATTTGGAAATGCAACAAAAAAAATATAAAAATAGAAAGACCACAAAACAGTAATTTATTTTGTACTATTTATTAATATCCAGTGTTCGTGAATTTCGTCAAGACCCGCTTTGCTAAAACAATACAAAACAATACCCTTCTTCTTCTTTCTCTCCACTTGTTTGGGATTTATATAATAAGGTCTGATTAACATTATTTAGAAACACAAATTAGTCTTTTTAAATATGATTTAGACATTTTTATCTTCTCTTATAACTGCTCAAAAAATAGAACGTCAAAAATGTCAAGCTTACACATGGAGCTTATTATGAAACCGAATTTTGTGTTTATTTGGAAATGCAACAAAAAAATATAAAAATAGAAAGACCACAAAACAGTAATTTATTTTGTACTATTTATTAATATCCAGTGTTCGTGAATTTCGTCAAGACCCGCTTTGGCTAACACAGAGGCAAATTCTAGTTTATTCAAAATAGACTTTCTATTTTAAAAATACATTGAAAGCTTATAGTAGTGAATGCAGAAAAAAAAGAGGGAAAAAATAGCCTAACTGTAGTTTACAGCAGGACTTCAAACACTCGTCTATAACTAAACATTACTGAGGTATAAAAATCCCTACAAAAAGCTCAAGCCATGTGTAATAAGCCCAAGCTTTTATATCAGTGATACACAACATATGATCATAATGCACAACTGTTGTTACAACAATAATAAAATAAGTTTAATAATAATAATAAAAAACTAACAAGTTTAAATGGGTTGTGTCAGAACTGTGTATGTCAAAAGTTTATTTCTGCAGAGTTAACACAACAGAGAAATATTAAAAGTATTACAGTAAACATATATATGTCCATTGAGACAACTTTTGGCAACACAGTTTTGCAAGTGTAATATGATGGTGAAGAAGGCATATGGTACAGTGTCAGATGTGAATTCTCAGTGTACACCTTAAAAATGATAAAAGCTGTTACACGTTCCTCCGGGAGATCTCTTGCTGCTGTTGTGAGATTTTAGTAGGGACTGAAGTGAAACGGATCACATCCTACTGACAAACTGAAAGATCTGTTGGTTTAAGAGATGTTATTATTCACATGTTCATGGCTTTTAGCTGTCACAAGCTTTTCATTAGAGCACTGATGTATTTGCATGTAAAATAAACAGGTTCCCTTATGTTTACCATGATTAATGAAGCAGGCAACCGAGAGAAGCAGTGGGATGAAAGTGTATTAAGAACAAATGAGTGGCAGCTGACACCTGCAGTCTGCAATTAATTTCAGGGATTTCGCTTATTTTCACTTTCACATTAATTTCTGGGTGTTGTTGTGTGTACATGTGAGCCAAGGGAGTCTGTGTCTGAAGTGATCTGAAGGCACACTGGAGAACACCTCAGCATGATCTCTTCAGGGGGGTTAATTAATGAGGAGGGAGATCTTAGCACATTTTAGTCTGACACATTTTTCTTCCTGTAACCCAAAACGGAATGCATCTATTTCCAATCACACACATTTCCGTTTATTAATTCACAAAAGCCAGTGCTGCAGTCGGTGACTGCTGGTTTCCATCCATAAACTGCTGTGAGGAATATGAATAAAGATGAAGATGATTAGTAAGAATGTGGTAATTACAGAGGAGAGACCTTGCACAAGAGGAATTATTCTTAGAAAAGGTGAAAGTTTGTCACTTACTTCTTTAAACAGGTAGTTTGTCTGTATTTAAACTGGCGATTCTGTTTGCAATATTAAGAACTGAATTATTTAGCAGACATTTTGGCAATCTGATGTCAATTTTTTAGTTCCGTAAAAAAAAAAAAAAATCTAACGGGACAGGATATTTTGTACACAATTATATATGATTTGTTTTAATAATACTTAATATAAGATTATCAATGCTTTTTGCCTGCTGCCCCCTTTAAACTTGAATAAAATTTAACATGATTTTAACCAAATAGTTGTCCTAAAGCACTCTTCTGCAGTTAAATATTTGTGAAACAAAATGAATATATAGAAGAAAATATAAAAACACTACTTCTGTTTGCAATATTAAGAACTGAATTATTTAGCAGACATTTTGGCAATCTGATGTCAATTTTTTAGTTCCGTAAAAAAAAAAAAAAATCTAACGGGACAGGATATTTTGTACACAATTATATATGATTTGTTTTAATAATACTTAATATAAGATTATCAATGCTTTTTGCCTGCTGCCCCCTTTAAACTTGAATAAAATTTTACATGATTTTAACCAAATAGTTGTCCTAAAGCACTCTTCTGCAGTTAAATATTTGTGAAACAAAATTAATATATAGAAGAAAATATAAAAACACTACAAGCTGGCAAGAAGGACCAGATGGAGCCACTTTATCATTCTGAAGGGAAAAAAAGAGAAAAACCTAACAGTAAAAAACTAAAATAAATAAATAAATAAAACAAAATAATAATTTATTATTGCACTGTTAAATATTGTACCATATCATAGTCATCATTTTATTATGTATTGTGAGAAGCATACATTGACATTGGAATGTTTACCATATTAAAAACAAATTGTGTAGTTTGCAACAAAGTATGAAAATGAGGCAGATTTCTAAAATGCAAAATGTTTTCTTTTAAAGTCAACATGAATCCGTTTGACTTCTGTGCTCTGAATATTTACATGTGTAACAGAACAGCATATTCCGTGAGGAAAAATGTAGAATAGGACTTTTTTTATATCGGGTATCGGGAACTGACTGAATGGTGAAAAGTGGATATTACGTACCATAATGGACTAGGTAGTTGGAAGGGAGGAGTTAAAAACAAAACAGAACATAAACATAATCAACTAAGGAAGGTCATTTCAGAGGTGGATCAAACTATTAAGTTAAGAATTTTTTGAATCTGGAATAATATGCACAGATGAATGTGCCCCAAGAAAATAAACAGGGTCAATTTTCATGACGACTTTTCCTTAACTGTTGACTTCCATTTAACAATTTAAACAGGCCAACATTATTTACATGTTATTTGACATCAAATAACTCTTTTGTTACAATTTTACACAGTTTTTTTTTAAATTTCTTCCCATGATGCACTTAAAGAAACGTGTCGAGACAAAAACCCAGATAACAGCACAATCTCTGAATGTTCCCCTATAAGAGCATTAAGGAACACAAGAGCCACAGTAACATAGAGACAGCAGTGAGTCGGGGAGAAGTGGGTGTCATGGGTGACTCCATGGGAGGAGATGGCCTTGAGGTAGCTGTGTCACTAAAGATCTCCAGAACCTTGCTTTCTGTGCAACCCCAAGGGTGCACAAGCCTCGAGGCATCTCACTCCTGTGTGAAAACTGGCAGGGCGGTAGAGGACATTCGTAGGTAGAGGATTCGGGTAGAACTCTACACGCTCTGCGTGGTGTCATCCAAAACACCCAACTCTCCATGACAGCACTCTCTCTCCATGGCCCGTTATGTTCCTCTCAGCATAGCTGCCCACACAGCTCTCACGTTATCCTTGTAATTCTCAGTCTATTCCGCTCATTATGTCCCACTACCTCTGGAGGTTTGCTGTAACACTGAATTGGGTCTACACAACAATTTAGCCAGGAAAGAGTATTCAGAAAGTGGAACAGATTGATTAAAATTCATGTTTTTGTAATCTATTGTCAGTAAAAAAGGGAGGCTCTCAATATTTTAAATGCTGGAAAAGTGGTACTGCTTTAAAACTTCATTGCTTATAAATGAAGGCATCATAAAAGAGAAAGGTTCCTGGGCGACAAGATGATTAAATTATTTCTCTCGTATCTACTTGCCAACACTGTGGGCTGCCTAAGTGGCATTCAAAAGCTAAATTCTTTGGAGGAACGCCACATGTATAAGGTAATGCGCAGATCTCTGAGAGAGCGAGGGCTTGTTGAGGCTTTTCAAGGCCTCTGAAAGTTTCCCTCCAGCAGTGTGTACCTGTCAAGGACACCTGGCCTCTGTGATACCGTCACCATGGTAACCTCCTCCAGCCCCTTGAGTAACAGATACAGCGCATACTGGAGCTCAGCGGCGCTGAGAGAGTCTGTTGTGGAGATGAATGCGGCAGATGGAAATGCCTCGGGAGATCTTTGCACTAGCCATTGATTTCTCTAGCAGAAAGCGGTCCCGTTATTGGCCACAGCCAAACCTCAGAGTCAATTGAGGAACTCGGCGGACAGGCTTCGGGTGCAGCGAGCCGAGCGGTACTTGAGTTCGTGGTAGCACTGCACAAAGCTGTGGTAGATGAAGGTGATCGGAAGAGCCAGCAGCACTATCCCGCTCACGACGCACAGGCCACCAAGCACACGTCCCGGCACAGTGATGGGGTACATGTCTCCATAGCCGACAGTGGTCATGGAGATAATAACCCACCAGCAGGCGGCAGGAATGCTAGCGTATTCCTCGTTCCCGGACTCCAGATCCAGGCCGTGCTCTAGAAGTTGCGCCAGCGCTCCGAATATGGCCATGGCCACGCAAATGAAGACCAGGAGCATGACCATCTCACGGTAGCAGCGCTTCAACGTTAACCCTAAAGTCTGGAGCCCTAGGAAGTGTCGCGCAAGCTTGATGACCCAGAAGATTCGCATCATGCGCAGCACGCGCAGCGTC